ATATATAATATTATATGCCTGCTCTTGTGCGCCGATTCTAATGCACAGATAAACCGCATTCGTCATTGTCTATTATTTCAGGGAACGCAACAACGCCGACTTCTTATATCCACTGCGTTCGAAACGCCTCGATCTTCTTGGACTAATTAATAACAATAATTACACCCGTACGAGTCATGCCAAAGTTCGCAGATACCCTTTGGCAGATTACGGCGCACACGCACGTGTATACGCACGTCCGTATTTGTCAGCGAGAACTTAGGCACGACGCGAGGATTGAGCGTCGCGTTTCGAGTCTGGAACAGCCGGGGCGGTTTCTCCTAGTCGTACTAATAACATAGTGGCGACCTGATAATTAATAATGAAACTCGAGGGGGAGAGAGAACCGCGCCGGCCCCGGTTACGTTGAAAGGATCGCGATGTAGTGGGTGGACCCCCTTTTTCTCGTAATTGCAAGGTGTGGACGCGCTGCTTTACGTGCGATTCGCCCGAGCCGCAGAATGGTGGATGCCGAGAGAGCAACTAGAGAAACGCGAATACATATAATATATGTATAAAAAGAGAAAGAGAGGGATTCCGCACGGCGGCAGGGGAATGGTTAGATATATCCCGACCCTGACGCGTACTTAACCGTTCATTAGCGGCGATTTTTTCAAAAGAATCGATTTTTTTAATCGATCTAGATCGAAAAAATCGACTAACAAAGAATCGATCCATCGAAAATCGATTTTTTAATTTAATTTTAAAGAATATTAAATATTATTCCAAATAATTGCGCAATTTTTTATTATAATTTTTGTACATGTTGTACATTTAGTACCACCATGTGAATTTTTTATAAAATATTGCCATACACTACTTTTCACTTTACCCATTTCAAACTTTTCGCTCGTTCTTTTAATGCCTTTTATAACCTTTCTCAGATAGCTTCAAATAAATAAGAAAGAGATGCCAATAATATCACGTGATTAACATCACTAGCTCTGTGATCGGTTGACAGCTGACACGAACTGGTCACATAATTTTATTATCTTTCTCTCTCTTATTCTCGAAGATCTCTGAGCCTTTTTTACAATACGTCGTATGTCGCAGTCGGATGACGAAAGTCAATGATCCAATGAGAACTCGTGTTCCAACATCCGACTGTGACATATGACGTAATGAAAAACGGGCCTAATGCAAAAGGCCTAACATAACTATATAATCGATCTCTAGATTGAAGAATCGATTCATTGGATTAATCAAAGCTGTAGAATCGATCTTAAAAATCGAAAATCGGATACAAAAGAATCGATTCTTCAAAATATCGATTCAAGATCGCCCATCCTTACCGGAGAACCGCGGTGCAGCTACGTCTCGAGGAGCCTTCGCCTCCTGATGATCTAATCTAAAGCGCGATGTTGCATGCGATTTTCCCGAGATTTCTCTCTTTTTTTCCCCCACGGTTTTCTGTACGCGGAGCTCGATTCTTTGCCAATCTTTTCTCTTTCTCGGATAGATCTCGCTAAAATTGGCTAATTACTAGGACTATTTTCTTTTTACTTGGAAAGCAACATCCTTTTTATTTTTGAAGAATAAAAACTTGTATCATATAAAAATTAATATAAAAATTAACTTGTATCATATTTTAAGCGGTTTTATATGTAGAAAAAATAATTAAAGAAATGCATTACATATATCGAAATGCATGATTGAAGATATTATTTTCTTTTAATGATTTTGACATGTACAATAATCCTGTTTGAGTAAATATATGTCGCTAGTGGCCGAGAATTCGAAATATGTTAAAGTATAATTTGAAATTGTCATTTCTCGCCGTTTCTCTTGTTGATTTCTGCTAATCGAATAAAAACATTGTCGTTTTCGTCGAGATTAGATTCGTTATCCAAGCAAAGCTCGAAGCAAAATAGGCTTCTTCTCAACTTTTATAAGAAAGATAAAATAGCAAATGCTATTCTATAATATTCTATAATATTAATTACAAGAATTCACAAGTGACATGAGAAATGTTCATAATGAAGGAGGGAAGATTTCGTGCAGCTACTGTGAAGCAGCTTTCTAAAATATAGGAAGAAAGAAATCTTGTCTGCGTAAAGCTGTGTTTGAGTTTAAATTCACGGAGTCGAAGAAAGAATGTGAAACGAAAGGACGATTCGCCGTGGGTGATAATGCCTGTTTGCTTTGAAAATTAAAATCGACTGCGCAGCATGATTGTTTTCAGACAAAACGGCCCACTGCCGCGGAGATGAGAGAACGAACGATAACTAAAAACGAAGGAGGAAACGAATGATCACGCTAGGAATCAATTTACCAAAACAATATAAAGAGAGTTCCCCACTCGAGGAAATTCGCAAAAAATTCACAATAGATGCAGCCAAGTCATAATAAAATTTTCCCTTATTTCACCATCAGTTCAGTTAAAGATGGCTTATTGAATGAAAGTTTAGGACTAATAAATCAATCCCTAGAAACGTTACGTCGAGTCGAGCGAAGAAATAAGCAATGTCAAAAATTCATGAGTAACAAATAATGACATTTAAAAAATTACTATTATATAAATTGAACCAAATATATATATATATCATATTTGCGAAAAATTATCATCTCTATTTCCGGAAATAAAATGTGAAATGGGGTGAAGAGAGAAGAACATCAGTATACCGATTCTTTTCCCTTTTTTACCGAGCTCCCGCCATTTTATCCTTCCTTTATTCCACCTTACTCCCGCCTTTTTCCGCTGCTTATTTCCATTCTCTCTCCTTCGCTCTCCCTTATCTCGCGATTCCTCCTTTTTACGTTCTTTTTCTCCTTTTTTTTCCTTCCTCCACCCTCTTCACCCTCCGACGTCGTTTCTACCGTCGAGGAGACTTTTGCCGCGCGGACTAAAACGAGACTCGACACAAATAAGATAATCTCCATTATAAACTCGGAGGTAGGGTAAGTAAACGATGAGGAGTTATTTACTTGGCTTGGAAAGAGGGGAGAAAGGGAATACAAAGTAATAACAATGGAATGAGAGAATAAGAAGGAAGGTTTGAGAATCGTACCGAGTTTGAAGTCGCGTAGGCGCATTAAAGGAGGGAGGTTTGGCTTGCTTGCTTGCTTGCTTGCTTGCGCGCCGCGTTATTATCCAAAGCAAATGGCGTCTCTTCTCATCCACAACATCGTCATCGTCGTCGTTTCTCGTCTAAATTCCGTGAAAAGCCGTGAGACACGCTCGCGCGCGGCCATCGCGATTTCCCAGACGATGCGGTTTCGATTGATCGCGTCGATTACTCGCTCGCGAGGATAATTCGAGGACACCGAGGTTGCACCTTTCAATTTCGCACGCCGCGCGAATTATAACACCTGATGTCTGCACAGAGTCTCCCTCCCTACGTTTATATCGCGATGTGCAAAAATTCGCTTGAATTTTCACGATAGAGCGTGTCGTGTGTTTTTGTTTTAAAAGGCCGTTTTGTAATTAACGCTCCTCGCGCCTGCGTTTCATATCGTTTCCGACAAGTGTTCCCGGCAATTTCCGTTGTTATTATAACATCAACTCTCCCCACCCCCTATGTTATTTCTTTATAAATCAATCCAGATCTCTCGAATGTATATATTCACACGAGCGAGAAATATAATCGATACGTCTAGACGTACTGAACTTTGTGTGTAGCACGAGTTTCTACGCGGAGTTCGAGCGCTCTCTTACGTACTATAATATATTCCGGAGATTTTCCGGATAATAACGTCTGAAAACACGTTTAGAGAGAGAGAGAGAGAGAGAGAGAGAGAGAGAGAGAGAGAGACCGATATCTGAAATCTTCTCGCTTTCTGTTAGCTAATACCCTTCTTCTTTAAAATGCTATTTCAAATTGTTGTATCGTCTTTCGATATTTCTCATCGCGTTATTAAATGTCGTCGTAGTGTTTCTTGCGTTTATCATTAAAGTTTAATATATAAAGAGCTGGAGAAATTTCGTAAATTATCACATCTCGCGCAATTTCTCATCCTAAAGATTTACAACGTCGCTAATCTCTAAACAATTAGTATGTTAATGCTGTTTTCAACCACGTAAGTTCCAATAACTTTGTTGCAGTTAACAGTTATAATACTCTTATCGAGAGGATAATCGAGTTTTATACGTTATACCTGCGTAAACGTCGTAATAAACATTTATGGGAATCGCTGAAACTGTTAGAGCTTGTTGCGGATAAATTTTCCACGGTAATAAATATTTGTTGTACAATCAGAAATTTATCGCGACGAAATTTATTAATCGATTACGATTTTTCCGGATAAACCGCGCGTTTGTGCGCGCAAAAGAGAGCAATTTTTCCAACACATAATGTGTATCATCGTTAATTCAACCGCGAGTCATTAAAAATACAAAAAGCGCTTCCATTACTCCAAGCGTTTGCTGGTAATTAAATAATTTACATTTTCGGTATAATTAAAAAAGTTTCTACGTGCGAGCAAGAGAGGGAAAGGGGACAGAGAAAGAGAGGTTCTGATAACCGAAAACCCTGGGTACCGTCGGACGTGTAAAAATATCGTCGCTCACCGCATATTTCAGCGGTGAAAATCTCGATAAAATTACCAAGGCTCGATACGCGTCAAGCCGGTAGCAACGCTTTGAAAAACTTGACAGACTATTAATTGAATAAAAATACGAATGTACACACAAATATTGCCGATATACAAGTCCTTTGTGTCGCGTGCATTTATCGCAGGTATAGGTATGTACCTATATATATTCAACGTGCACGCGACGCACAGAGAGACACGAAGACGTCACAAAAAGGTGGTTGGAAGCAACGCGAATAACAGCGCTGCCGCCCAAGTATTTCATGGATTCGCAAAAGAAAAGGCCATCGAGCGCGCATTTGCGAGAGCGATTATTGCGGCAAATCACGCGTCTGTCTATGTCTTATATAAGCGCAAGCAACGCACTCACCCAAGATGCGCCGCAGTCAGCACCGCCTCCGAGAGTCTGAAAGGCCGGCATGCATCTGAACGTCATTCTGAGCTCTACCGCCGAATTATTATCCAAAGGTCGACCGCGGGGTTCTCCGGTCACAACTTACCTAGAACAAAGCGAAACACTTAGTTAGCGATCAGACGGATTTTGCTCATTATGGGGGACGCAAGATATTGTTAGAATAGATAAAACAACAAATGTATTCAAAAAAAGGCCGCCAACTTATCGAGCAATATTTAAGATGTTGTATCCAATTAAAATTTATTTTATAAACAATATATTAAATTACAAAAAAACCTTCCATAAACGTTTCAAAACGTTTGGATAGTTCGAAATGCGGTGTCTCGTTAGACTGTTGGTTTTATCTATTTATAATAATTTCAATTTTTTTTTTTTAAATTGTGTTAAACTGTGAGAAGAGGCGACACAAACGCCTATGGATATTAAGAATTTCTCGCTTAAAAACGAAAAATAATTTACGAGATCCAACATCATAAGATCACATTACGGCGAATACTTTTATAAATTAAATATGACAAATTGTAACACGCATAAATTTCTAATAAATTCTCGACTCGAATTAACGGATTATTAGTAAGTTTAAGAATAGGATGATCTATTTTTTTTGTAAGAATTATAAATTACGTAACAATGTTATACTGAGGAAGACCGCGTGCGGTTGAAACATTTATGGAAGGTTTTTTTGTAATTTAATATATTGTTTATGAAATAAATTTTAATTGGATACAACATCTTAAATATTGCTCGATAAGTTGGCCTTTTTTGAATACATTTGTTGTTTTATACAATACACGAGCGAATAGAAATTTTAATTGATATACAATAGATAAACATTACGGTATAAGGTAAACGGTTCACTTTCTCATTTTTACGTGCAGCAAGGATAATTATTTTTTATTAATAAAAACGGTATAAAATCAAATTGATCATTGTGTGAATCAGAGTCTTTTTGTATAATATGTATTTTATTTAAAAATACCAATCCATGATTTATTAATTACTAGTTATTCATTTCGAAACGTCAAGCGTTTTTTATTTAATTGCTAATTAATATTTTAATTAATTTCAAGGAAAATTAATAAAATTAAAATAAAAGTGGGCTGTTCACCTGATCTCGAATATATAAAAATTTGCATAGTTTTATTATCCCTCCTTGTCTCCCCGTTCCATTGAAACTTTTTGCCCTTTTTGCGAAATATTTCACGTCCTGATCTCTTCGATATCGATGCGAGATTACGATATTATAAACGCGTAAGTCTTTTCTTCGAGTTCCCTTCCATCCTTGATGCTTCCAAGATCCCGCATTCGAACGTTCCGCAAGACGCGCGATTGGTAACGCATCGTTCGTCGATTATCTCCCGGCGTACCGAATCTGCATAACGTCATGCAGATGCCGCGGAAAATACGTGCGAGCCATATATCGTACATATATATATATATATATATATATATATATATTGCAGAGCGAAGAGTCCGCCGGTATCAGCGGCGCCCTTCGCGATCGCGCTTGTAGATAACCGCAAAAGATCTCCGCGATAAGCGAGGGCGCGTCGTAGAAGGGTCCGATTATCCGAGGCTCATTAAGCGCGCGAACGCGCGTGTCCTTTAAGCGGATATAGCCTGGCATTTATGCACCAAATTGAGATTATTGTGATGCACATTAAGGGAGAGGCTGTAATCGTCGCGACGGCTCATTTTCAGTAGCTCACGGTATGTTAAACGTCGACGCAGGAAATTGCGAAGCTGCGCACATTTTATTCAATTCTTCACTTTTCTTGTTGCAAGTTTCTATTTTTTTTTTTTTTTTTTTTTAATACAAATGAACAAATTTCAATAAAAACCAATGACAATTTCGCGCTTTTACCCGATTTACAAAATTGCTTAATATTGAAAATAATAAAGTATAGATAAATGAAATAATATATATAGGAACGTGATATTTTTTAACTCAATAATTGAGAGAAATTGAATTTAAAGCCCTTTATTACACAATATTTGATATCGCTAATTAAAAATCGCACAATATTTAATTTCAGTCGATTTGGAATTTGAGAAGAAGGCCGAAAAGCGAACGGAACAGAAAATATTCTGAAATATTCGACACACTGTGTTTCCGAACGTGATTCATCATCATCGTTCATCTCGGTAGGCCGGTCTCGGTAGGTAGTCGCGATTCCGTCATCGGTTGTTTGAAATGTCAGTAATTCAGGAGCAATCGAGAGAGATACGGGGAGATCACGCGGTGTTTCGCGCGGCCAGGAATCCCAAAAATCCGGCCGCAGACTGTTGCGTAAGCGGACTTCTCTCCCTTCGTTCCTTTCGAAGGGGTTATTAGGCCGAGCGCGGAGCGCATTCTTTCGCGCGTCCGAATAAGACTATAAGGAGGAACCGAAGGAATGAAAAGGAGATGTAAAAGAAGAAGAGTGTGTCGACACAGAGAGGAAGATGGAACGCGGACCTATAGAAGAAAGGAGTAAAAGAGAGACGATAGAAAGAGGCGAATCGCGCCGAGATGAGATTCTGCAAGAGAGAAGGAGACAACGACTGCACACGCTATTTCTCTCATCTGACAGAATCCTATTCGATTCTCTCAAGCGATCATTTTTTTTTCAATACAAAATAAATAAATTATTTTTTAACACACAATTAATATCTTCGAGATAAACGAAATTTCTCGCCGAGAGACGAGTGCGACAGAAGTCTCGGAGAAGAGCTCTCAAAATTTGCACGTGCTTATAAGGATTCATTTCTCCCTCGATCGAATAAATTCCGCGCATAGTCGGGCAAATTTTTTTATTCTGCAAAAAACAAAAAAACAAAAAAATGCCGACTTTTCCGCTTTTATCCTCCGTCGTCTGTTCCGCATTTCAGCGCGGAAAACGCGCGAGCCCTTGCTGATGTCGCTGCGGGAATGAATAATGGATCCGCGCGCGGCCATGCCGGGTACACTCGATTGAATATTCATAATGCATCTCTACGTCATCCGTGCATGAGGATAACGCACACGGGTGTGTGTCTGGGTATGTGTGTGCGCGTGCGCAAGAGAATGCGCCGTTTCTCGTTGGCCATGCCGCGTGATGCATGCTCCTTGCCTCTGCTGCACGCGTGGCTCGCTCGCGTGCGTGCGTGCGTGCTTGCGCGCGCGTGTGTGCCGCAGCAGCCTAACCGGAGCCGAATCGAGAGAGGCGAACCGCGCATGCCAATGGTCAGCGCCGCGAGTCAGAGGGACGCTTAAATTTAATCAACTATATCGGTGCTTTACGTATTCGACGTTCAACGCAATAATAAGTAGTAACGTTGCTCGGGAATCTCTCGCACTTTAATCGTTTAGAAAAAATTATGCACGCCTCTGTTTCTCTCTTTCTTCGCGGAGAAATCATTCATTCGAAATGACAAATAAGTGGAATTTCGCGTTTCGTGATCCTATAATTCGAGATTCTTCGGCGGGAAAGTTTGGAAAATTATTTCATACAAATATTTTGAAGAACTGTCACTTGACGTTTTTCTCTTCCGATACGTTTTATCATATATCGCTTTGTTTTGCAACGAGACCATCGAGGCACTGGCCACCGCGCTAGAATATGAAATGAACCGCGTTAAACTCGCCCGAATAAGCATCGAATATACACGCCGTGTAAACGCGAGCACGCATGCGTACGTAGTACGTGCGTGCGTTGCGTATGTGGACACGCATTTCCATTCGACCGAAATTGGACCGTCAGATTGAAACTGTCGCCTACCCTCTTCTAGGGGCAGGAGATGTTGGAGAAAAGAGAGAGAGAGAAGAAGGGACAGAGCAGAGAGACGACTAGGGTCTCCTCGATCTGTGCTGCTCTCTCGCACATCCCTCGAAGTCTCGTTTCATCGGAGAGGACACGAAGACACGAGGGTGCCGCCCCTCGTCATCCATGTTACAGCGCGACCCGACGGTGTGTAATCGTCGAAGCTGCGCGGCCAGGTTTAATCTGGGATACGTTTCAAGTGTAGGGAATTTTTGCACCAACTCGGGAATTTAAGCCGACTCTGCTCCGAGAGATGGGATTTTTCAATCTGAGATCCGTATATATTTCTTCTGTATGCCGTCTCTTCTTCTTTTTTTTTCCCTCTTCCTTTCGGATATACATATTTTCAGCCTCGACTACTGTACGAAAAAGTTAAATCCGACTTGGCACGAAAATATTTTTCGAAAATATGCACTTTGTTTTTATCTTTATTTTTTCCCAACGTTTATGTTCAAAAATGCATATATAATGTATTAACAGCGAATAGTTACACTAAAAGTTTTTAAAAATTTAATATCGTGAGAAAATTTAATATCGTGATATGTTTCAAAGATATATTGTTAGAGTTACATTGTGTCTCCTTTGAAGGTACATCTTGCAATTTCAAAATTACTATAGACTAGCCACGAACTATGCAACGAAGATTGGAATTCATCGATTGAGATGCAAATATCGTTACAGCATAGTCTTGACTACTGACTATGACTATGAAACAGTCAATTGTAACATATAAATTCATTTCACAATGCAATGCAGAGAAGGTACAATCGATATAGAACGATTTAAGTGGCCATAAAACGATTATCCCTAATTTGGAATAATAATGTTGTAACCAAACCTAGAATCTCCTTACAGAATTTACTGCTCTTCAATTACCGGGAAATATTTATTTTTTACTTGATATTCATCTCATTTGCATTAAATTTTTCATCAGAATAATATTTTCCATCACAAACCGATTATAAACATTACATCATATTATGTTAAAAAAAATTAATTGCTCCTATCGAATAATCTTTAGACATTTCCCTTTGATGCAAACTTACTTATCGTACTGGCACAATTAATTCCACATTTAAAGATTTTATTTAAAATGTCAAACAGCTGAGCAATGGAACGCCGCACGCGAGCAACAATGAGAGACAGTATTATTAGAATCAAGCGAATTCTATCGGGGTCGAATAAAGAATTTTACGCAGGCAATATTTTTGGCATTATCATCTTTTATATTATATTATCCGCGGGAGACGAGAATTGGAGATTGAAGGGAGAAACCGGTAAGAAACTTACAATAACAC